TTTTAAAAAGAAAACTTCTGAGAGGATAAAACACAATGTATTTCCTAAAAACACATTCATAATTTTATCTTTGTTTCAATGTGTTTCAGTCAAGACACAGACCATTTTCAAATGATTAAAATCTAGAATAATATTTAAGAAAGAATTCAAGACCTGGTAATGGAGGGGGGGATGGGGATACAACTCATCAAAATTGATATAAGAACTAAGTAAGATGACTAACATATTTTTTAAAAATAGAGTGTTATGCGAATTTCCTTTATGAGTAGTATTACTTCTTTAATTAGAGTATTGATTTTGGTTATATAAACAGGTAGGTGGTTCTTCTTATCATGCTCTTTTATACATTAGGAAACACTGAGTAGGAGCACCTTTAAATTTCAAGGAATAAGCAGTTTGATTAAAAAATATTAAAAATGTGTAGCATTCTCTCCCAGCATTAGAGATCTCTCTCCATCTGCACACATGGGAAATCTAGAGTTTTCTAATGCAGTACGAATGTATGGGGGAAGGGAAATGCTGATGACTTTTCAAGCTTTTCTGATGAAAATTCTGATTTACGGACACTGTTCTGAGAGATAAATGTATATGTAAAGGAACAAATATGTGTTTTTTCCTTAGATGTGTCTGAAATTTCAGAATTTCTGCGTAATTACATTTATTAGGGGGACAAACAACCCTGGCCATGCCTCTGCGGAGCAGCTCCCAGCACTCCGTCAGCTCCTCACTGCAGAGTAACCCCGATCGCCGCCTCTGCCCACCAATAAATACCGGAGGCCGTGCATGTGCGCTTACAGAACTTCACAGGTTTCCATGGATACGTGAATTTTAGTGCTAAAGCACATTTACTATCGCTTTTCTTGTCACCAAGAGTCCTGTAAACACTTGTGCTTTAAGATTTTGTGCAGAAATTTAGCATTTTATAGAGGACAATTCAGAATTACCTTTGTCTGGAGGCCTTGTATGATTTCCCCTTAGGCCAAGTTCCCTGAAATCATTTATAGTTGTGGTTCTTTTTAGTGATGTGGACCAATCGAAGACAATAAAGGCTTAACTACATTGTCAGTATCACTTTTAAGGGACAGATATTTATACCATGTAAATGTTACAATTAATAAATAGGACAAGTTGCTCTGAATTTAAAATGGAAAAGAGGCAAATAGGGAAAGCAGAAATAGGACTATTATGTGTGTATTTAGCCATTGTTTTCTCAAAAAAATGTTGACATATAAGTGTTTATCCATCTATCAGAGTTTGAATTTATCCTTCGTTACATGTAGAAAGCTTGTGTGTGTGTGTGCGTGTGTGTATGTGAGAGAGAGAGAGAGACTTTCCCACAACTCTGTGAAGACAGCTGGTTACACTAGTTTTTCCACTCATACATGTATAAACGGAGGCTCAAAAGGTTTCAGACATGTGCTTTATGTCATATAGCTAGCAAGTGACTTACCTGGGATTAGAACCCAAGACTGCTGACTTAACTGTCCAGGGCTTTTCCATTGTCTTTTTCCTGGTCAGCATGCAAGCACATTCTTAAATAGAGAGCATATCTGTGCTTTTCCTTTCTTGCCATAGGTTTCTGGATAGGTTTCTGTGCCTTTGACCCAAGCTCCATTCAGTCATGTTTTTCTTCACTTATCCCCTTGCCTGGCCCAGAGAATTGGTTCAGCCTAATTCACTAAGTGTAGTCAGGTCAAGTGAACAGAACCACTGGGAAGCAGTCGTCACAGAGAGATCACCCAGCCCTCATGGGCACTGCACGAGGAATCTGTAAGGAATCAGATTTCTAGTTCTACTCATATTGACCAAGAGCATGCAAACGAGATTGAACGAGAGGCTTGAGCAATTTGTACACTCAAAAAAATCCAATCTGGGAAGACACGCTGCCTAGACTTCA